CAAGGTAGGAACTAAGGAGGAGTCAAAGGGGGAGGTAGTCAAGAAGGAACCCCAAGAAAAGTTAATGAAGGATGCAATGACGAGAGTTACGCCGAAAAAGTATGAAAGTTTTAAGAAAGAACCCGAGAAACTGACCGAGAAGAAAGAAGAACCCGCTAAGAAAGAGAAATCGGTAAAGGAAGCAGAAAAACCGAAGAAGAATGAAAAAGTAAAGATGAAGTTGTCGTTCACATACAACAACAAAAAACATGAGAATCTGTTGTTGTGGATTGCGGAAATACAGACTTACTGTGGAACCGCACCCATTGAGCCCGAAAGTCAAGTCGCTTTCTCTACGTCGTGTCTCGGAGGAGTGGCTAAGGAATGGGTGTTGGCCAAAGTCAATGTCGCTGGCTTTGAAGACCTTGGTGAGTGGGCGAAGACCCTGAACCTCAAGCAATTTCTCCAAAAGATAAAGGAGAGGTTTCTTGATAAGACGACGACCGATAAAGCCTTCGACAAACTCACTACAATCAGCCAGAAACGTTGGACTTCGGTTGATGCTTTGTCATGTGAGGTTGACCATCTTTTGCAGGTACCCGGGTTGATTTTGCAGGACAACCAGATCCTGTACATATACTCACGTCATGAGTCACGTGCATTGCTCGAGCCCATTCACGGACAACTTATAGCAGAAGCCAAGTCTGGTAAGTTTAACTATTGGCAGTTTCGCGATCTCGCTCTCCAGCAAGAGCAGATGACCGCACAAGTAAAGTGGTCTTACGCTTCGGTGGTAAAGTCGAGACAGGTTGGTGGATACGGTAAGCGAGTCCTTTGGCGACAAAAACGCCAGGACCACATGTTAGTTGTTTTGTATGATGATACCATAGAGAAGTTACCCCTCGACGAGTCTGAGGGAGGAGGAGGTAACGGTGACAGTGAATCTGGGAAGGGTGATGTCACTGCAGTGATGACCAACAAGGGAGGCCAAAGTTAGTGGAAAAAGAAAAGGAGGCCACACTCGTTTCCCGAGCACCCGGGCATTGCGTTCGGGAAACCTTGAGAGAAGATGAACATGACGCGCGAGGAATGGCAGTCCAAGATGGACAATCGCAAGTGCCTCAAGTGTGGCACTCTGGGGCATGTTATAGTTTGGTGCCCACATATCTGAAACCCAAAAGTGAGCAGCCAGTATGAGTAGCATCTGCTCCTACTGAGTCGAAGGGTTCAGACGAAGACAAATGTAAGACACCTACAACCCCTTCTAACCTTTCGACTCTCAAGGCGGAGGATGACTCTTCTTCCGCCCGTCGTGCAGAACACCTTGACACTCTACTTTGTTCTGTCTCACTTGACGATTTTCTTGACGAGCTCTGGAATGAACTCATAGCACTTCAAAGTTCGTGAGCGAAAAAAACTAAGTCTAAGGGTGAGTTAATGATCACAAAAATTGAGATTGCGCACACGCGAGTTGGTGCACTATTAGATCCAGGATCAACGCAGTCTTACATCTCAACGAAGGCAATTCGAAAATCGCATCTGGGAATGAAGGTAAACGATTTACCTTGACCTATCACGTCTATGCTGGCTGACAAGAGCATGATTACTGTCTTTCAATACGTTGATCGTGTCAAGTGTCATTTCAAGACTAAGGAAGGAAAAAATATTTTACACAAGATATCCTTCCTAATAGAAAATAACATGGCATTTTATATAATGTTGGGAATGGATTGGCACAAGGAAGTTGACCCAGAGGTAAGGTTCAAAGATAAAATTGTCGAACTCAAGGACAAGAAGTCTGAAGTACACGCTATAAAGTTATATCATAGGTCTGACTCTGACTCTTCTCTGTCTTTCTGTTGTATGAGTTACCAAACTTTTCGCTCAATGGTAGTAAAGAAAAAGTTGGATCAGGAGGTGATGATGGTGCTTGTCAAACGAGTCGGTGAATGTTCCTCATACTATCCACCTTCTATCGAAAAACTTCTCGATGAGTACAAGGACTTGCAGACTCAGCCGGCGAGAATTAATGAGCATGCTATCAAACACACAATCGAGATTGTTCCCGGAAGCAAGATTCCCAAAGGTCCCGTTTACTGATTGTCTCTCAGGGAACTTGAGGAACTTCGAAAATAGTTGCAAGAACTTACTGATAAGGGATGAATTCACCCTAGCTCATCTCCTTATGGTGCCCAAAAAGGAAGGTGAACTACGTCTTTGTATTGATTATCGAGGGTCGAACTTCGTCACTCTGAAAAACGCGCAACCTCTTCCACGCATTGACGACTCGTTGGACCAATTGCAGGGATGCAAATATTTTAGTAAGATTGATCTCAAGTCAGGGTACCACCAGATCGAGATGGTTCCTGAGGATCAACACAAGATGACATTCCGAACCAGGTATGGTCACTATGAGTTCAAGGTTATGCCTGTCGGTTTGACTAATGCGTCTGCGACCTTCCAAAGGTCAATGAACGAATTCTTCCGATAATGGCTTGATCAGTTCATAATAGTCTATCTCGATGACATTCTAGTGTATTGTATGTCCGAAAATCGATTCAACGCGGGTTCTGCATTGAAAGGTTCAACGCGCGTTGAATCCTCGTTAAATCCCCATTGAAAAACCCGTTAGACGGGTTACAACGGGACCTGCAATGATTTTTTTCGCGGCCTAAAAATTATAGATATATATATATATCGTGTAGCATGCTGTTCGCGTTCAGTCGTCAAACGCGAATGACTTTTAAAACCGACCGAACGCGAACGTATTTTTTTAATTTTTTTTTAATATATATATATGTATTGGTATGGGGGGGTTGTGGGGGGTTAAGGGGGGGAGTTCCCCTGGGGGGG